CACTGTAAACTTTTCTAGAAATGACCAGAAATGGAAGCTGTCCACCCACCTGTTTCAAACTGTACGTGATTCCGGGAAATGTGGAGTTAAGATTCGTGTGAAGCTGGTCTAAGTGATTTCTCTTGACATAGACAAATGGGTCATCAACATAGCGCAGCCATAATTCCAGTTGTGATGCCGTCTATTGTGGCCAAACTGGGAAAACCGCCTCTACACGCATACATGAGCATCAGTTAGCGGTGAGGAGACGAGATCATCTATCCCGGGTGGCTATGCACACACTGGACACAAATTCGCATGGGAGAACACTCGCATTGTTGGCGCCTGCAAAATATGGGAATTCCTGGAGACAATGCACTCAGATGAGGCATGCATCAATCGACATATCGATTTAGATGCCACGTTCATATTTCTCAAAGACAAATGGAAGCGAGCGCAGCCAATGCCGAGGGGATGGCGAAAATCGTTGACGCGCATTGGCGCAGGCTTCGGCCAACCGGAGATTCACTTGTTCGACGCGGTAAAACAGTTAACTGTTTTTGTACATAACCCAAAAGTCTGACGACGAGCTGGGAAACCAGTCTCGAAAATTTGCGCATTAAAGTTTATTTTCTTCCCGAAGAATCATACTTATTTTCATTAAAATTTCGTGGGATGCCAGTTTTCTAGCACATACACATTTACAGACTGTCTAAATCGATGGGCGAACTGTCATGTATTTGATAAATGGGTCCAACATGTAGAGACCTAAGTCTTGAATGGTGTCGAAATTCACAAGTGATTGTTAATAATTGACAACCCGACAATAGTGCATGAACCCAATGTCTATATCAATTAATAATGATTCTTGAGGAAGTAAAGCATGAAAGAAATTATTAAAGCAAAAGGCAGAATGATATTAGCGACAAAGACAAGGGGGACTGGAATGGCCATTTCTGGCTTATTAGCCGTCGTCAGCCAGCCATACCCAAGCCCGAAGTGCGGAACACCCTAGCCTCGAACTCGCGACCTGTTGGTTTAGAAGTCCACACCACTACCCATCGCACTTCGGGCTTGAGTATGGCTGGCTGACGACGGCTAATAGGCCAGAAATGGCCATTCCAGTCTCCCTTGTCTTTGTCGGTAATATCATTTTGCCTATATATTATGCGTCGCTGTGCGGCTGCTGGTTGGGCTCGAGAGAGAGCCCTTAAGGCACAACGGAACGGGTGAATTCCGTATGAACGATCGGTAAGCCCCCCCTACCATTATTAAAGCAAAGTTAGGTTGTTTAGAAATGATAATTCTTTGTAATAGCGGAAGATCCCGAAAGCGTCAAAGTAGTTGTAGTTGTGTGGACTTCAGTTTCAGATGTACAGAAAGCCTGTGTTGTACCCTACTGGTCTACATTTAAAGTTCTCCGCGTCCCCTGCAGCACTGCTTCCGCGTTTTTCTCCCTGTTGGCATTGCTTTTTCCACTTTCGCAACCTTCCTGCAAGCATGGTCAGTGTTCTTTTAATTAACTAGGATTTTATTCTGACCTTGAGATGGGAATTTGATTTTTTTCAATGGTGATGATTAAGTTCTTTCGCTAGCATATCCCCTGTTGAGGTTCGTAGGTTTTTCATTATTACTATTTTCTATAAAGAGAATCACATGTACACCGAAATTTATTTTTTTAATTTATACGTTTCGCTTGGACTAGTAAAGAATTCAGCCGTACTCTGCAATGGTTAAATACATTGAACGGAATTGGTTTAATAAAATACAGACGCGTTCGATGAAGAGTGAATTGAAAAATACGGAACAGGCTTTTAGACTAGATGAACTAGATGCCTTTAAATGACAAGGAGAGCTCAAGAAGGATGTTTAGTCCGGCCATTGCACGACCGTTTCTGTTAGTAGTCGTAATTCCAAATAAACTCTGAAGGCTTTGAGAATGGCAGGAATTGAGAAGAGACGGATTGGCGTGAGACCGAACTTATGCGGATTATTTTAATGCCAAGAGAAGAACCGAGTTTGTTAGGATAGAGGTAGAGACCGCCGAAGAATTGTTCGATGAAGGCCAACTTCACGTATATTCCGTCGCACATTTCACGAGATATTTGAAGCAATGCCCAATAAATGAAATTTGTCCTGGAGAGGATGATAATCGCTAACATGAAAATGTCGGTATGCCCATAGCAAGTGTTAGGAGTCTGGCATTTGCCAGTTGCGAAGTGCCCAAGGTTGATTTGCCCTACTTTGACGGTAACCCAATGCATTACTGGAAATTTGTACGCCAGTTTGAAATGTTAGTGGAGAGCAAATTCGAAGATGCTGGACAGAAACTCCACTACTTGACTCATTATTGCAGAGGTGGCGCGAGAGTTGCAATAGAAGAGTGTGTTATGCTGCCCTCACCGTTGACATATTCAGGGGCACCGAAAATGCTGAACAGCTTATTTGGTCGACCACGTGTCGTATCTTGTTCTCTTCTGGATGGTGTCTTCAGGCAGGCACCCCAAGTTATCCAAACCGCAAGGGCACTTTCAGATTTGTACAAAGAAATGAAAAGTTTTGAAATAGCGCTCATGCAAATGAACTATGTGTCCGACTAGCAGTCGCTGAATGTCCTGGAGCGGATAGTGCGCTGTCTATTGTTCTTTCTGCAAAGTCAGTCGGCCAGAGTGGCCGACAGAATATCTAAAATGGTGGAGATCCAGATTTCGCAGACCTCACGGAGTTCACATATACTCGAGTTATGATAGCGAGAAGTCGTTTCGGACAAATATCTGGAGATGGTGATATCGGGCGCGAACAACAAAAATTTATTGCCACTGCTCAGCGACCAAAATTAAAGAACTCTAACAATTTTGCCATTTCAAATGTCGATCCAGATCAACTCCACGTTGCACATGTTCTCAAGCGCACGAAGTGGCCAACTGCTCATGTTTGCTTACTATCGGTGTCGCAGATAGGTGGGATTGTATGCGAAAGCACACGAAACGTGTTTTGTTTGCCTTGGTAATATGTTTTTTGCCAAGGTGTGCGGCTCCAAGGGACGTTGTGGTAAGTCCGGGCACATAAAGCGTCAGCATACGCTTTTACATGTAGTGCCATCGGAGAACGATCACCGGACATTGCAATATGAAGGGCTTTGTACCCCGACTTGAATTGCGCATGTGTCACTATGACTGGGAGTTATTCCCGTCAATTTGACGAGTCCAACAGGAGACGTCGAAACATACGCATTTAGGACAGTGGCTCGGATATCCATCGGATTAAACGAGCGCTTCTCATCAGTAATCGAGTGATCACAACGCCAACGGCATTCACAGAGTTCTGGTCTGCAGTGGGGGTTCTGTAGTTCTAAAGAGACCTCTGACAAATTTATGCATTGCCCGCGATAATTTGTGCGCTTTATTTTCCCCGTTCCGCCACGATTTCCATCGGTCCAATCTATAAATCGAAAAGGGTTTGGCGAACTGCATTCATGTGATCGGTTAGTGTGACTGTGCGCGCAGGTCACTGGAGTCACCATACGAGGGACCGTTGCGTGTGCTCATGGGCAATACCAAGATCTGCCAGACCCTTCACGGTGACAAGGATGACATGATAGGTATCGACCGGATCAAGGTTGTTCACATAGAGGAGTCGCTGGAACTGCCCTTATGATATAACTGTGCTGACCCCCTGGCCCATCCTCCACCTCCCTACCCCGTGCCACTTCGCCTCCCTACTCCCTTCTCCTTCCCCTTTCTTGCACTCCATCCCTCCCTCCCGTCTACTTCCAGCTACGCCATGTCCCGGAGCGCCAAATTCAGCCTAAACCTGCTTCACCTCCAAATCCTCCACTGCAACAAGCGCTCAACCGTTCGTTTCTGTACTATCTTTTATGTCTCCCGCAGTATGCAACAAGTTCACTTCCCTGGTCGTTTAGTTGCTCATTGCTTTTAAACCTCTGCATATCATTAGGCGTTTCAAGGTGGGGAGGGGTACTCTTTCGAGGTGCCTGGTTAACTGCTCTTTAACATTTCCACCGCTTTTTGGCCGTTCTGCCTGTCTTTGTAGTAATGGACGCACCGCTGCAGGTTAAAACTTTCATCGTTTGAATGCTACATTAGCAGGTCGTGTGCCCCAAACGGGCCACGGGGTTGATGAGCGGGACCAGTAAAGGGGCCGTATCGGATTCTGGCAGGCCTTATCAGATTGCGCGCCACAATAAATGTTAACGTTTCGGGGGTGTGTTGGTGTTATGATCCGTCTGGTACTTGAAATCCCGTGGTGCGTATACACACTCGACCCTTGTCCCCAATACCAAAACAGCAGACAAGGAAAACACGGCCGGCTACGGAAAGCGTATTAGAGAAACACTGCAAGTCGCAACTAGCTGAAAGGTGACGCATATTTATAACACCCTACTGGGTTTCGACGGCATTCGGTCCAATGACCTTCGGGAAGAGGGGAGTAGCCAATGGAGAGGCGCCCGACTAAGATGACAGCGCAATAGAGAGGGTAAACACACGTGATGTCCAGTTATTGGTTGGTTCTTTGTTTTTGGGAGTTAAGGCACTCGCAATACCTCCCCTCCAAGTAAGTCAGTATCGCTTTTGGCGTGGATTGATCTGCACCCGCAGTGTTGATCGGCGCACGCGGTTGGTCTGGCGTCTTAGTCGTGGTTTGTTGTCTGGAGACACTGGGGCAGTGTCTGATACCGAAGGCGGGACATCCGAAGGAGGCGCAGCAGTGAGTTCGGGAACCGACCGAACTGCAGGAATGGCGAAGGTATCCAGTAGGATGTCAAGAGAGAGTGACGGCACCGACTCCAGCCCGGTTGTGTTACTGCAATGTCGCCGTTGGATCTCGTTGTGGTGACGAACCCGGATGTCATCACCAACGTCGACATCAAATAACATGCTGCCTCTGTGCGCCTCTATGGTTGCCTCAATCAAGTCTGGGAATCCACTTTGATAATCACGAACTAATACAGGTGTTCCGATGGAGAGCATGCTGCGAGAGACTGGAGAAGTCTGCGCGGACTACACACCGGTAGGAAGGAGTCCATGAAACGTTGTACGCGATTTTCGGCCCATCAAAATTTCGACAGGAGAAACGCCACCATGGGACGCCGGGTTCGGTGTTGTCCTGTAGGAAAACAGGAACGCCTGGACTATCTCGTCCGTGGTCCCCTCCCCATGAGCTTTCAAGAGGGCTCTCTTAAACGTGTCGACAAAACGCTCCGCCTGACCGTTAGACTGAGGATGGTAAGGCGGGGAGCGAAGATGCTGGATGTTGTACTGGCGACAGAAATCCTTAAATGTCGGCGATGTAAACTGAGAGCCATTATCTGAAACCAGGACTTTCGGTAAGCCATGTTGGCTAAAGATGCGTCGTGGGAAGGCGATAGTGGAAAATGTGGTCGCTGGATTCAGCGGAGCAATCTCGGGCCACTTCGAGTAGGCGTCAGCCAAGATTAGATAGGAGACTCCGTTAAGTGGGCCAGCGAAGTCGATATGCACGCGTGACCAAGGCCTCTCCGGTAGTTGCCAGGCTATTGGAGGTTGACGAGGCGGCATCTTGACAGCTTGCTGACATCGAGAACAGCGTCGAACCAGGTCGTCGATGTCGCCGTCGATACCAGGCCAGTAAGCAAAACTGCGAGCAATAGACTTCATTCGGCTGGCACCAGGATGAGCGGGAAGGAACTGGCGTAGTACAGTGGGTCGGAGGGAAGATGGGATCAACACACGGTCCGCAAACATGAGGCAGGAGTCAATTACAGATAGAGATGCTCGGCGGAGGAAGAGCTGACGAAGATCACCAGCGAGAGCAGTGGTTGGCCAGCAGGCCTGCATGTAGGGGATGGCCTGACGGAGGACAGGATCCTGTTAAGTAGCACGTCGGATGTTCGCGGCAGTGACAGGGATACCTCGTATGGCGTCTAATAGCTGACAGCGCACATCGTCCTCAATCGAAATAGTGATAATCACAGTATCTTCCTCAGGTTCCTGCTGATTGCTGATGAGGCGAGAAAGGACGTCAACCCGACCAAAGTTTGTAGTACGACAGTAGCGAATGCCCAAATCGTTGCCAAGAAGGATGGCTGCCCATCGCTGAAGTCGGCTGGCTGAGTAGACGGAAATGCCCTTCTTCGAACGGAAGATTGACAGCAATGGTTTGTGATCCGTCAACAACGTGAAGTGGCGATCTTACAACAGTTTGTGGAATTTCTTGACGGCAAACACGAGGGCTAGAGCCTCTTTCTTTATTTGCCTTTAGTTCTTCTCTGCAGGGGTTAGCATGCGAGATGCATGCATGATCGGCTTTTCAGACCCATCAGGAAAAGTATGTGAGATGACGGCACTAACTCCGTAGTTGGAAGCATCTGCAGCAACAACGATCGGCAGCGTCGGGTCGTAGTGCGTGAGCAGCAGATCTGAACTCAGCATCGAATTTAGCTGGGCGAAGGCCTTTTCACATTCGGGGGACCAGCACCAGGCAGCATCCCTCTGCAACAGACGGCTGAGCGTTGCCCGTACGTCATGCAGCGATGGTAGGAGGGCGCTATAGTACCTGATCAGGCCAAGGAACGAACGAAGTTGTGATACATTCATGGGTGCAGGCATCCGTTGGATGGCCCGAATGTTTTCAGGATCTGGATGGCGACCGGTAATGTCTAAATCGAATCCGAGGTACTTGATGGAGTCGACGAAGCATTGGTACTTGTCGGCCCGCAGGTGGAAGCCATATTCCTGCACACGTTCGATCACTGCGCACCATCGGTCTTGCAGCTCGGCAGGGGAACTACCCACGAGGATGATGTTGTCTAGGTACCCAGCTGTACCAGGGATGCCGCAGAGCATTGCGCTCATCGTGTGTTGAAATAGGACCGGGGCGGTCTTGACACCAAAGGGCAGCCTGGTATATTGGAACAGACTTCACTGGGTGTTGATGGTCAACAATTCGCGCGAATCTGGGGCAACCTCGATCTGCAGATACGCATCAGCGAGATCCAAATTGGCAAAGCAAGTTCCACCATTCAGCAGGGTGAAAAGATCAGCCGGAACCCGCATTGGATAGCAGTTCGGCGTAGCGCGGCATTGAGACCGGTAGCAAAGTCAGCACAAATGCGGATCGAGCTATTGGGCTTCTTAACCACAACTATTGAAGCGGCCCAGGCGGAGTAGGATACAGGAACTCCCAGTTCCTCCAGACGCTTCAGTTCAGCCTCGACAAGTGATAGGGCTGCATATGAGACTGGTCGCTTTGGACGGAAGACCGGTTGACTTCCGGGAGAAAGATCTAGCACGGCTTGAGTGTACGTGCAACGACCCAGACCGTCTTGGAACACTGGAGCTAACCGTTGGAGAATGTCCTTGGCTTGGTCTGCAAGCAGAGCAGGAATCTGCACCTGACCGCTAACAGGACGGAGAGGCATATCGGCCACACCGAGTAGTTCAATCCAGTCGAGACCAAGTAGGTTGAGATCAGACTTGGTGATGTAGCAGATCGCAGTGATGCTGGTACCGCGGAACGAGATACAGCATTGCAGTTGCCCAATTAGCTGTACGAGACCACCGCACGCGCTTGTGGCGGACTGGGAAGTCCGCTGGATCTCGGGGCTGTCAAGGGACAGCCAGAGTCTCTCAGAGATGATGGTGATGTCTGTGGCAGTGTCCAACTGTAGGCGAACTTCATGGCCATTGAGCAAAACGTCAACAAACTTTCTAAGACCAGCCGCATTGAGCTGGAAAGTGGCCATAAGACCGAGAGACTTACCGACGGACTGGGATTTGGGCTTGCGTTTTGACCAAAAACGGTGCTGGAAATAGATATGGCGGGGGCTGACTTGATTCCAGAAGCTAGTATTGATTTGCAGAACCCATCACGGTGTCCTATCTGATTACAACTTTGGCAGCGATGCTGGCGAAAAGTGCAATCCCGGTGGAAATGGCACGCGCGATAGTGCCGACAAGGAGCTGGCGGAGATCTCGCCTTGGACAATTGCTTGGGCCGCGTAACAGGATGCGATTTGGTCGATGTGACCGAATGGACTGAGAAAGATGAGGCCGGGTTCTAAATCATTGCAGAGTCGTGCTTGAGGTTGGTCAGCGTTTGGCACTCTGCTGCCAGCTCTTGGAGTGTGATAGAGTTGTTCTGTTGCACTTTGGTCAGGAGACGTGCCCGGTTATCAAAACCCTTGGTGGACTGGAGGCCGCAGATAAATATAAGACATTTAAACTGGTCTTTAGTAAGAGAATCGAGTTAAAATGCCCACACTTACGATTGACAACGCCCGCACACGGGATGAAATCATCGGAATTTCGTTTGCACGGTTGCAAGCACTGAAATGGAGTGTTGAAAAGGGATGATTGCTCACCAAAAATCTGCGACAACGTCTGAACCGTGTCCTTGAAAGTGACTTCTCGGGGATCCTTGGGGAGGATGAAGTTAGCATAACGCTCGTGTTCAGCCAGACCCAGTTTGCGAAGTAGCAGTCGAACCTTCCATGCATCGTTCTGGGCAGCCAGATCGACAGAGAACAAGTCCTCGTATCCTGTGTACCAGGAATCAATGGTGATATGGGCCTGTGGGTCAGACAAGAATTCAGTGATGCTGCCGGCAGTGTGATCAACAGACTGCGAACCACCAGTGTATTCGAGAAACACTGCAAGTCGCAACTAGCTGAAAGGTTACGCATATTTATAACACCCTACTGTGGTTCGCCGGCATTCGACCCAATGACCTTCGGGAAGAGGGAGTAGCCAATGGAGAGGCGCCCGTTTAAGATGACGGCGCTGTAGAGAGAGTAAACGTACGTGATGTCCAGTGATTGGTTGGTTCTTGTTTTTGGGAGTGAAGGCACTCCGAACAGTTGGCAGACCCCAGTGCCGGCAGAGGTCGTGCACACTGGGACCCCTGTCGCCCCCCCCCCCCCATTGTTGTAGGTCAAACACCTGGTCATTTGCTGTGCGGACCAGGATGTGTGGATTGGACCGCCAAGGTGCGGGCTCCATCGTGCCATCCACCTGCGCCCTCCCACTCCCCTGGTCTTCTTGTCCCCGTCTTGACACCGGGTTTAGGTGGAGAGGAGGGGAAAGGGAGTTTGATGCTGTGCAAGTCTGCATTCACTTCCCTCACTGCTACTGCGTGCTCGGCAATTCGCGTGCGGAGTAATCTCCCAGTTTCTCCGACGTAGTTGCTTTGTCCGCAACTGTAAAAGATCCGGTAAACGACTCCAGACGTCTCCTGCCGTGGCAGTGGGTCTTTCGGCCCGCAATCCATCAACAAGCGCAATGACCTCCCGGTACCATATTCCGTGCTGCGATTTTCCCTAGGCAGGGAAATCAGTCTTGTGGGGAGGGCGCGGGCGAGCAATTATCACAATGACAGTGAGCCAATTTGCCGATCAATCGTCACACCAGCATCCAGCACGGCAATTAACGACTCGGACGCGGACTGACAAGCCACCACCGCATCAATTACGACCCCAGCGGTGATTGCGAGAGCTGTTAATTACAGTGCGCATATGGTCCCACGGCAGCCACGTGCTTTAAATACTGCACTCCTTGTGCCACCATCACCTTCATATACAACTGTCTCTGAAGATGGATTCGAGTAAGAATCCGAAACGTCAGGCCAATCGATTTCTTGTTCCAGTGATCGCATCTTCGTCTTCTGAACTTCGCCTGGTGATATTGGCCACACATCTCTAGATTTCACCGGTCGTTTTAATGCAGAGCTCATAATTCACGACAGTGAGAGTGCAAATCTCGATTCCAACGATATCCACCGTGTGTCCCACAGATAGGTGGGAATATTGAGAGTAACTTGATGGTTCAGAACACAGGTTCGTGAGTGGATCACATGAGGTCACAATGCAACGCAACCGACGTGTTTGAATCTTACTTCTGAGGGGGGTTGAGATATCTCGTCTGTTTGCGGCCTTTCCAGACGTGACTGTTAGCGCCTTAGCATAGATTCAAACAGACCAGCTCCACAATAGTGAGGAATGCGCAGATGTGCCGTGGGAATCGATTCCCCAGCATCAAAATCACTCTCTCTCCCCTTCATATTCATTCCGCACATCGACTGTCGGCGCCGTCTAACTGCTCAATCCCCTCTGCCAGAAAAGACAAGCCATTGGTGCTTGGGAGAGGAAAGAGGAAGCGAAGTTGACACACGTAACTGCATAATCATCGTGCATCAGACCATCTTGCCCACCATAATTTCAACGCTCTAGAAATTAACCGGACAGGCTAAGATATGATCTTCCGTTTACCGAAGTTCGGAATTTATGTATTCATTCTTAATGCGTAATTTATGACACATGTTTTCATGCCAGACGCATGTCGCGCTTTTCGGATGTCTAATGCATGAGGTAAGGGCCTGATCGTGTGTCGCACGCGAAGATGGACTGTTTACCTCAGTCAGCCAACGCTTTGTTGCAAACCTTCGTTGACATGGCTACGTTCTTGTATGGGATCAGTGTGGGTGACAAAGGGGGGAAGGCGGAAAATACTGCGCAATTCCTAGACATTCGACATTACTGGGCTTATCGCGTGGGTCAGTTATGAATGTCATCGAAAGTGACGGTATAAATGTCGGAATGTGCGTGTATTGAACCCCTTCATTTTCAATTACGAATACCAGTTATTTAAGGAGTTCAGTTCAGTTCAGTTTATTTAGAGAAATGTAGGTCATCACCTTTGAACTCCTTACTTGTTTACAAGCAACTGCAAAATCTAAAAAACTCGAAAAGGTATCATAAAGGGAACAAATGATCCGAAAAGCGTCAGATCGGTACAGACAAACAAACTGTCTCGAATGTTAGGGGTACAGGCAGTTGTACAGCGGTCGTTTCGAGTGCAGGGAAATAAATAATATACCCGGTGACAAAAGTTGCATACGCGCATGTCAGCAATCGTAGACGATGTAGGCAAGTAGTATTATAACAAAGGAATTTGTCAAGAAGGAGACATTACGACATCCACAGGCAGGGCATTCCAGGCTTCTATCACTTTGTTGGAGAAGAAGAACTTTCGTGTGTCCAGTCTGGCCCCTGTCACACGTAGTTTAAATGGATGACCTCGTAGATTTGCGGTGGTTGCTAACTCGAAGAAGTCCCCCGGTACGAGGCTGCAGTCCTGACCGCGTATTATACGGAAGGCTTGTATCAGGTCATCCCGTAACTGCCTGTAACTCAAGGGAAATAGATCAAGGTTAGCTAACCGCGTTACTTATGGTAGTGAACCCTGTCTTGCAAAAAGTTTCGTTGCACGCCTTTGAACCCTTTCGAGGATGCTGAGGTCCTTCGCGGTCCAGGGTCTCCAAGCTTGGATAGCAAATGCTAGTTGCGGCCGCAAAAAGTTCGAAAGACTTTAGCGAAGCAGTCTTCATCAAAGGCGGAGAAAGCCCGCTTGACAAGGTAGAGGACTGACATTGCAAACTTGGCTATCTTCGTGCAGTGCAACGAGGGTTTGAGCGAGGTCGTAATCCGTACTCCCAAGTCCTTCTGCGAGTCCACTTCTTGCAGTGGTATACCATTCAGGCAGTAGGCCATATGGTTCGGTTAGCGAGCTATGCCGACTCGTAGAATATTGCATTTTTTCTCATTGAACGGCAGAAGCCAGTCCTTTGACCACTGTTGGAGTCGCTTTAGGTTCGCCTACAAATGCTCTTTTTCGTCGGCAGTTCGAATAACGCTCCAGAGCTTAATGTTATCCGCAAACATTGCGACACCACAATCCAGTTCACTTACTCAATCGTTGGCGTAAATAATGAACAAAGTGGGACCAAGATGTGAGGTTTTCGGAACACCGCTTTCAACTGCAACCTCCGTCGTCTGCTGGCCACCGACATGGACAGTTTGAGAACGGCCTTATAGGAAGCTTTGAATCCATTTTAAGAGGTTACCCCTTACGCCTGTTGGGCTCAGTTTGTGCAGGAGTCGCTGATGTGGGACACTATCAAATGCCTTTTTAAAGTCGATATATACTACATGCAGCGCATTGCCTTCATCAACTGGCCGAGTCCAACGTTCCAAACAGTTGAGCAATTTAGTCACGCAAGACCTGCCGCTACGAAACCCATGCTGCGCATCAGATAATAAATTATGCTGCACTAGGAAGCGCATCAGCTCTCGCTTGATTATTTTCTCCATGAGTTTGCAGCAGATAGATGTGAGGCTAATTGGCCTGTAATTGTTTGCAGAGGCCTTGCTGCCTCCTTTATGCAGTGGTGTGATCCGCGCAGATATCCAGTCGGCGGGCAAGCAGCCGTCTTCGAACGAGGCTTGGAAAAGCATGGACAATGGTTTGGCTAGTTCGGCAGAGAGCTCCTTCAGTAACTTAGGCAGTATGTCGTCTGGACCTGGTGATTTCGACTCATTTAGCGTCATTAGCTCTATGCGAACCGTCGCTTCATTAAAAGATACAGACTCAATTTTTGTTCGGCAGCGCAAAAGTCCCTGCTGTCACCTACTACAGAGGTCACATCCGGTAAAAATTGACTGCTCAAATAACATGAATTTTTCACATTCATTTTCGATGGCCTTATAAATTCAAATATATTTTGTAGAAGACGTGCAAAAAATATGCATTGTTATACTCCTTTGGTGGAAAATCATGCTGTCTTCAAGGTCGCAGGTGAAAGTCATGCACACTGGTACCCCTGTCTCCCCTCATTGTTGCTGTTGGTCAAAAACCTGATCATTTGCAGTGTGGACCAGGACGTGTGCAGTGGATCGCCAAGATGCGGGCTCTATCGTGCCGTCCACCTGCGCCCTCCCATTCATCCAGCCTTCTTCTCCCCGTCTTGACGCCGGATCCAGGTGGGGAGGAGGAAGCAGTGAGGATGACGCTGTGCAAGTCTACATTCACTATAATATAAATCACGCATAAATCATCGTTCCTGCTCTCACCTAGTTGTAGAGCACACGATGGTCATCTTCGGAATTCACGATTGAACTCTCGCAATTTACAAGTCGCTGTAGAACATGCCCAGTCTTATCGGTGCTATTTCAACCAGTGGCGACTGTCTTATCCCCCATGAAGTCCGTGTACTTCGTTTGGTGACAGTCTCCACCCATCTCTAGATTTCACTGGTCATTTTAATGCAGAGATTTTAATTCACAACAGTGAGAGTTCAAATGTCGATTTTAACGGATTTTTCTGATTTGCAATGGCACCAAACTATTGTACATACGTCTTTGGGGTAGTAAACAAAAAACAAGTCAACAAATATGCATAATTACAGATGGGCACTCACTGATCAGGTTACGGAACGTGCTTATTCCACTGTGCCTCGGGGATCATACTAGAACCCTCTCAGGCAGTCGCACAGTGACGTGTATAAGAAGGATATGACATGGTACCGACAAAAACTGGGAGGGACCGGAGTGGCCAATTCTGACTCATTAGCTGTCATCAGTCAGTCATACCCAACCCTAAGTGTGGATCACTTGGGACTCGAACCCTGAATATTTAGCCATGGAGTTTGACACTGCGCCATTGAGCAACGGGTCCGTGTTCCGTCGGTTGTGATAGGGGATAGCAATCATGACAGATGTATTTCAGTAACAATTCACTCCTGCATGACGGAACAGGTGGTTGTTTTGCTGAAGAGAGGCTCGCTTCATTCCCCAGTTTATATCATAGTTTGAGATATTTGGGAAATAATTACGGCTTCGATTGAAAGGGCCATGCACTATATTTGTAGTATCGAACATTACACCGCATCAAACGCTGAATTGGAAGGCAAGGGTCCGTCTGTTTAAAAAGAACTCGTTATTGGAAAAGAATCGGGCATTCCAAACGCATTTTTCAAATAGCATATTGGCGGCAGGCTTGCTGATGCAGATTAAAGAGGATTTCGTGGGATAATTATCAATTTCAGAACGATATGGACGCAATGTTGATCTTCATGTGATGCATATTTACACAGAATACAGTTAGGAATTTCGGTCGACATTTCTTGAATTAGCCCATGCACTCTATGTATATATAATGGTAGGGGGTGCTCACCGATTATTGCTAAGAAACTCATTCGCCCCGTTGTGCGTCAGGGCTTGCTCTGGAGTCCAGTCGGCAGCCACACGGCGGCGACCGTTCTTAATAACATTATGTCTACATCATGCGTCGCTATGTGGCTGCTGGTTAGGCTCGAGAGAAAGAGAGAGGTCCGAGGTACAACGGGACGAGTGAGGTTCGTAGAAACGAACGCTGAGCGTCCCTCTACCATTTTATATTCCCGGTCGCAACAGACAGGACAACAGGCACGTGGTCCGGTCGTTAGGCGCGTTGGACTTCTAACTAACAGATCGCGCGTTCGATCGTCGGGTGTTCCACAATTCGGGGTTAGGTATGACTGGCTTACGACGACTAACATGCCAAAAATGGCCATTAAAGTATCTTTTGTGTTGTGGGAAATACCATTCTGCCTACGTGCGAAAAACTGACTTTCTACCTTGTTTTTATTTCGTCTGACGACGGATTGGTTGCACCAGCTCGAAAATTTACGAGTACAACTCGACTTGTCCAAAGAACCTCTTCCTTTTCTCATTATATCGGCTCGGAATTCATACCACCTCGGATCTACAACATATGTTTGGGCGTCAAACGCCTATTCTTGCCAGACGTTGGAAAAAATTCGTCACGAGACAGGCCACGACTTTCGAAAAATTGAACTTCCTCCATAGATGTCGCTGACAAGGTTGGTGCTATTGTCCTCATGGACAGAATTGATGATGTCAACAAGGCCAATAGAATCTTCAGTGACATAGGCGGCCCACATTCTTCTTGCCGAAGACCCGACGAAAAGCAAGCCGCTGCTATCAAGAAAGAAGTTAATGATCTCGCTCGTCTGACAGTTATAATTTCGGATGATTCCAAGTTGATGGCCCTTAGGGATCCCCATATCGCACGCGCGTATGGTCTCCCAAAAGTGAATAAAGTGGATGTCCCACTGAGAATTATTGTACTACTCATCGGATCACCTGCAAGCAATATAGCGAATTGCTTGTACAGGCATCTGAAGCAGCTTACCCATGGATCTGACTACAGCATCAATAATTCTCACGAGTTCCTTCAAAGGGTCCAAGGCCTCGAAGTAAGTGCTGATGAATGCCTCCTGTCCTTTAACGTCGTTGCCTTTTTTTCCTCCATACCGCACGATTTGGCAATTGAATGCGTAGCCCAACGCTTGCTGGAGACACCTGTTGAGATTCGAACTCAGCATATTATAGAACTGCTCAAATTCTGCCTTAGAAACTACTGTCAATTCTACAATAAGTTCTACGAACAGGTAAAGGGAACACCAATGCGCTCACCAATATCAGGACTGCTTACAGAACTTGTCGTGCAGCGATTAGAAAAAGGGGCTTTTCAGCCTCTCAGCCCTAAAGCGTGGCTTCGCTATGTAGACGATACCATTATCGAAATAAAGAACTGCGAAGCTGAACGGCTACATCAGAGGCTGAATGATGTCTTGCCGGCCATACAGTTTACTCGTGAAGAGGCAATAGGTGACAGCCTGCCATTTCTTGACGTGAGAATACAAAGACTGAGCCATGGTAGTTTCGCGACGAGCGTCCATAGGAAGGGATCTAATTCTGAAACTATCCTCAATTATGGAAGCCACCACCTCGCTGATCACAAATGCAGCTGCGTTCGAACTTTGTTCTAATGGGCCTATCGTTATCGCAACAGCGGCGATCTCCTTAAGAAAGAGCTTGCCTACTTACATTTACACATGCCTGCAAATCTATCTTGCTCTGTTATTCCTGCTGTCCTAGCGTTTTCATTGGCCAACGCCTTTTCCACTTTTCCTCGAGGTTGTTGTGCACAGGATCCAATTCTACGCGTGGATGAATTCATAAGTAACCAGAATGGATGGCCTCTAAATATTCGCGGCCTTTCGTAGATGAGAAGACACCTACAATGTGAGTCTTTTCCCTGGCGAATATTTGTTCTATTTCTAGCGTATGCATGACAACTTGGGACAAGTGGTGTCGCATTTGGACGGCCGGTCGCTCTTCATATATTTGTATAGAGGCCGATTTCCCAGTTTGACCACAGTAAACCGCGTTACAGGTTTGAATGGTATCTTATACACGAATTCCTTCTTAGTTAAATAGCTAATCCTATCCTTAGACTGTACATACTGGTTTCGAAGCGTAGTCGTCGTCTTGTGCGCCACATGTATATGGCGCTTCCTTAGGTGTCTTTCGACTAGTTCGAACATATACTTAAGGTGCGGAAGTGTTCGCCAGTTTTTTGATTTGGACGCCTGATCGGAACAATCTAATTCCGTGTCTTTTTCTTTTATCTCCTGTCGCCGCATGCATCGGTGTAGAAAATATCCAGGATACCTATTTAGTAACCTGATCGGTGAGCGCCCATCCGTCATGATTGATATACCCGATCACAATAGACGGAACACGAACCCGTAGCTCAATGGCGCTGTCTTCGCAAAGTACTAAAGTTGAAGTAGCAGGACAGTGTCCTGGACAAGGAGGCCTTGATATGAATCAGACTTCTTAACATCCGCGCATCGCTGATGCCACTATGACCGCGATGGATCAACTACCACGTAAGGCTCGCCATTTGGCGCCTACACTAGCGAATCTTTCACGGGAATTTCACCACGGGTGTTTGTCGACAAGAAGTACAAGAAGACGGCCCCAGGCTCACCTTGAAATCCACCCTCATAAAACTGCAAAACAACGCGGACACCTAGCATGTCCTAGGTAGGGATCTCGCAGCCTAAACAAGAGCAGTGACGGTTAGATAAACAGTTTATAAAGACAACCGGATCATCAATGTCAAATCCTTGTATGCAGTACCCAAGTTTCAAGCGCCCCCACCGCAAGCACCCAACCATCTCCTGTACCACCCCTGCACCAAACCCCATGATGGAAACCACTACCACTGACAGTTTGTCTGTCGTTGCCGATGATGTCCACCGTGTGCTCCGCAACTAAGTGACAGCAGGGATGGTGACGTGTGCGTGATTTAGTTTATAGTGAATGTGAACTTACACAGCATCAACCTCACTCTCTCGTCCTTTCTTACCTGAAACCGGCTTTAAGGGAGAGTTAAGAAGACCGTAGGCGAAAGGGGAGGGCGCAGCTAGATGGCACGATGGAGCACGCATCTTGTCGATCCATTCTACACCTCCTGGTCCACACAGTAAATGACTAGCTTTTTGACCGACAACAGCAATAGGTGGCGGCAGGGGACCCAGTATGAGCTACTTCTGCCGGAACCCGGGTCTGCCACACCACCCCGAAACGTTGACATTTGTTGTGGTGCGCAATCCGATAACGTCTGCCAGGATCCAATATGGTCCCCGTGTAGGTCCAGCGCATCTACCAAGTGGCCCGATTGGGGGACATGCCCTGCTTATTTAGCATTCAAACAATGACAGTTTTAACCTGCAGCGGTGTGCCCATTGGTAATAACAGAGTCAGTACGGGCAAAAAGGGGTGGGAATGTTAAAGATCAGTTAGCCAGGCACCTCGAAACAGTACCTCTCCACACCTTGAAACGCCTAATGATATGCAGAAGTTTAAAAAAATAAGCAAATAAACGATTAGGGAAGTAAGCTTGTTGCTTACTGCGGGAGCCATAAAAGGAAGTATAGAAAGGAGCGGTAGAGTGCGTATTGCAGTGGAGGATTTGGAGGTGAAGCAGGTTTAGGCTGAATTTGGTGCCCGAAGGACATGGCGCTGTTGGAAGCAGATGGGAGGGAGGGATGGAGGGCAAGAAAGAGGAGGGGAACGTAGTAGTGAAGTAAAGAGCTTAGTGTAGGGGGGATGAGGAGGATGGGCCAGAGGATCAGCACAATTTTATCTTTAAGGCAGTTCCGGCGGCACTTGCTTTGGACATATCATTATCTCCAGGAAAATTTCATTCAGTCCGCATTACTTCAAATATCTCGTGAAATGTGCGACGTAATATACGTGCAGTTGGTCTTTATCAAACAATTATTCTTCGGCCTCTTCCTCTATCCTAACAAACTCGGTTCTTCTCTTGGCATTAAAAATACTCCGCATAAGTTCGACCTCACGCCAATCCGTATCTCCTCAATCTCTGCGATTCTCAAAGCCTTCACAGTTTATTTGGAACCACGACTACTAATATAAACGGTCTTGCAATAGCCGGGGTAAGCATTCTTATTAAGCTCTCCTTGTCCATTAAAGGCATCTGGTTCATCTAGTCTAAATGCTGCTTTGCGGATTTCCGGCAAATTTCCATTTGCTGCGCTGTCTAAAGTGCAGTTAGTGAAAGAAAAGTTTATTAAACTCGACAATGCAGCTAAACACGTAATGAGAAAATATGTTTTCATTCCATATGTTTTCATTTCATTTAGTCCTCACCGGAACGCAGTAACGGTTTGTGCTGTGTCCACGCCGATTTTAACGACCTTGTAGAGTGCTTGAATTATGATTTTCTATTGCGGAAGCCGTTAGAAGGTTTATGATTTAGTGAACGCTTTACATTCAGAATATTTTTGACTATCCGGTTTAGGCTTCTATCAGAGATTGGGCAATCTGTGCTTATTTAGTCTCGCTAATCAATGTAGATTGCTCGCAGTATATCGTTGGTTTGAATTAGGGAAATGCGGAACATTAGTTATGAAATTAACTACGAGTAATTGCGTTAATTTGACCTTCAAAATACGCTAAAGACCCCAGTCGAATACAATGGAGAGTTGAAATTTTGATTAAAAATTCTAATTTGCCAAGCGAATTCGTCTTTATACTTTTTACATGTTGAGCAGTATTGCGAATAATAGTAAGGAAGTTAAATGAGCCTAAAGGGCTGAAGCCAAACCGTTTAAATCATCAAATATTCAGAGGCAGCCGTTAATCGGAGTGAGCGTCAATAAGCTAAAATCGGATTCTAGCAAACGCAGCCAAATCCTTACGTCATATATAATACTGCCATGCCAGTCAAAATGCCTTCCCTGGCTTCTGTCGATTTAAGTATAGATTTATCTTGCAAGCAATGATTCGAGGGGATACCCAGAAAGCAACGGAAATTATTTTCTGCAGGTAAGTGTGTTTGTAGGGTTGTCCAGCCCCGATAGATACATTTACTAATGATCGTTTAATTAATCTCCTCCGTAACGCCCTCGGTGATTTTGCAATGCCAAATATCAGCGAACAGTTCACCAGCATCAAATTGTGTTTCCTCTACGTCCTTCTTTGTTTTCCGCCCTTAGATTAGTCGTTGACGTTGGTTTTGATTTCCATGGCACCATAGTGAATCGGCATTAATATCTGCCAGAAGTAAGGTGAATGCGAGAGGCAGTCAGGAGAAATAATCGGAATTCTGGCGATCAGAGTACTGGCTGATCCATCATAACAACGCGCCTACCAACATAACGTTCATAAATCAATCCATTTTTAACGAAACCGGCGCGTGCCACCTAATGGAGGGTATTTTCAAGTAAAATACTATCCGCAGGGTGCTATCTTAAATAAAACATTAAACAAATATTTCTCGTTATTTTTGGCACGTTTTCGTGGGTCTGCTGAGGGATTAGGGCTTTTGGGCCGCGCAAAATTTAGAACGGACAGCCAGAAGATCAGTGCACCTGTCAGTTTCACTGTTCCCTCAGTCTCAGTCCTCACGCATTTTGCATTTTCAAGCAGTTGCCGTCGATAAGACCATCACTGCCCAAATTATTCTGAACGGTAAATATTTTTAGTCCAATTAAAATTGCTTCTTGGTGGTCAGATTTTTGAACATTCATAGCACTGTCCACTGGTGAGTGAAAAACGACCG